AGTCTGCAGAACTTGCATCTCGCCTGGAAATAGCCGGTGGGGTGCCCCCACTCATACCAACCCGATTGCAACAGAGCGACACACGGCCCTGTCCTGCACCACCCTCGGGATGGGTAGGTTGAGCCCATGGTTGCACGCACGAAGGGCTTCAGAAAGACCATGACCTTTTCATTCCATGGACTTTTTCAAAGCCCGCCCGTGTAGGAACTCACAGTTCAAGATACAATTCCCAGAGCTCCTAGGAGCCATTCCTGGGCTCCAGTGCAAGGACAGCCGCTGTGGAATATCGGAGATAAGCTTAAATGCACGGTTTAAATCCATGTTAGGGTTGCTGAGTACATCAGTGAACTGGGTGGACATAGTAGCCACAGCAGTGTGCTCAAACAACGTCAGAGGTCCGGAGGATGGCCCAGAACAGGGCGTCCTTCTGTTACATTGTACGCAAGACCACCAGGAGTTAGAGCTGCCTCACTGACACCCAACAGCAGCGACAAGGACAGTGGAATATGGTGCAGCCATTGAAAGGAGACAGATCTCTCTCTGGTCTCTAGGACAGACCAAGTGCATGATAGCGCTCTTGCTTCTTTGAGTGTCTGTATGTGAAAGGAGCCCTGGGCGCAGTCGGGCAGGTGGGCTGTTAGCCTCCAGGCCAGCAGTTTGAGCACATCAGCCCTCTGTGGGAGAGAGAGGTTTTCTGCTTCTGTGGAGATTTTGCAGTGTTTTCCAAAGTGGCAGTCCTGCCCTCCTGGGGGCTGCTGAAGCGATCCTGAGGGGGTACAAATGCAGGTACCCACACTGCCCCTGACTGGGCAAACAAAAAATTTTAATTGCCCAGGGAGATGCTGAGTCAATTGTTTCCCCACCCCCACCCCCCACCCCACCCCCGAATAGGTGGTGGTAAGCCAAATAAATTTGAGAACCTATGATTTACAGCCTCAGACACCAACAGAGCCAGGTCTCCCTGCTCTGCAAGGTCACTAAGTCAGAATGGAATGGATGGCAGGGAGGGACGGAGGGTGTGTTAGATCGCACACACATACAGACAAAGGGGCTTTGCCTTTAGAAAGGTGCATAAAGGGTTGGTCACAAAGGTTGCCGTTTGTAAGGGAACTGTGTGGACATGGGTTTCCCTGGGCAGTACCTGTCGATCTGGTCAGAATCACGGACTGTATGCATGCTGGTGTTGCATCTGACAGAGTACTCGGTGAGCGAGCGAGGACATCGAGGGCATCTTCCTTAGGCAGCTGAGCCTCCGCAGAATGAGACTGAGATACACTGAGTTCTTTCTTGCAGCCTCTCCCCCCGCAAGAAAGCTTCCTCCCCCAGTGAGTCTTAGCCTGGTGAGGACGAAAAATTAAAGAGTCATCATCATAAAATAACAAGGGAGTTTTCTAAACTGTTCTATTAGTCAAGGTTACAAAATAAAAGCGAGTGACTATTAACTAAATAGGCCTAAAGGAGGCAACATTCAGAAACATAGTTTTGTATTACTTCCTTTTAAATAGAATCACCGAGGGATGGTATTTTAAAAGTTTTTATTTTTCTCTTATGGAAAATTTTGGGGCCACTTGTGCCTTGAGGAAGCAACGAAAGGAATAAAAATGTCCATTTTCCCCCTGTGTTGAGGTGATTTTGATTTTTGTTCGTTTGGCAGGGGCAGTGGTGACTTTTTTCTCGGCATCGAATTGTCCTCCATTGGATATTCTGCACCTTGTACAGTGTGGGAGCAAGTCTGACTTAGTGAAGAACAAAAGATAAGCTCGTGGCCCCCCCGTCCATCCTCGTCCTAGTCCCTCCCCCCTCGCACCCCATGAACAGCATTGTGTGTAGTGGTTTAGGATGAACCGGAAGAAAGATTCCGTGTTTCTGCGTTTGAATAGAATGTAGACCAAGGGAGACGAGCCTTGGCATTCTCTCCCGGTAGCCTGATGGGTTGCCCACGGGGCTGCTGGGCAGTTGGGACCCACAGCTAGCCACTCCTCCAGGCGTGCTGCTCCCAGAAGGACGGACAGCCTCGGAGACCCACGGGAGCAGTGCTACGTGTTGGCATGAACTAGACGGCTGCGAGTTTGATTTTTTTTGTTTGACACATATGAGCCATTTGGCAGCTCAGGTTCAGTCATATTTGCAAGGTTGGTCTTTACCATGTTGTTAGGGGCTCGCCTGCCGGCTGTCATCTTTCTGACAACAGATCACTAGCTCTCAGGAGGGAGCCACTCAAACACACGGCCGTCGAGAGGACGCTGACTCATAGCTGCCTGCAGAACAGAGTAGACATGCCCCGGTGAGTTTCCGAGGCCGTGAATCTTTATGGGAGGAGAAAAGCTCATCTTTCGCCAATCTCTAGAGGGGCTAGTGGATTTGAACTGCTGACCCTGCAGTTAGCAGCCCACTCTGTAACCCACCATGCCACCAGGGCTCCCTGTAGAAACATCGGTTGGTTCAAACAGCCAACCTTTCTCCCCCAAGTACTTAACTGCTGCGCCACCAGGACACGTCTGGACTTGCACAGAACTAACTGCCCCTTGATATCTATTGGTCCTGCTGTTTCCTACAGTTCAGATTGCAGGATTCAAATCAGCATTGCTGTTAGAAAGATAGCTAAACAGTATCGTGAATGGGCAACCCCTAGTAATGGACAACCTCCTGCTTTGTAGTACAGCCTGCCTGCCTTCTGGCCGCTCCTGAGGCTCAGCCCCTGGCCTGCACGTTTTCCCATGGTACTTCTCACTTCCTAGCGCACCGATGCACCGATAAATCGTCCATCTGTTATCTTTATTGTTTATTGTCTCCATCTCCTCACTGGAATGGACGGTCCACAAGGACAGAGAGCTTTGTTTTACAAGTTCACTCATGCGTCCCCAGGATGTGCTGCAATAGCATTGGACGCAAGCAGGCACCGTTCCGTATTTACTGCACGAGAAGTAGAAAAGTGAATTACAAAGACTGATAGTGCATGCCATTTTTACGGGGAACGAAACATGTAGATGGATGTACCAGACATTAGACAGTCATCATTGCTCAAAGGATGGCATTACAGGAAATGGCCTTTTCTCTTATTAGTCCTTTTCCAAACAACTGTTTAAAATGAAAGCCAACAATGACTGTAACAAAATGAAGAGTTCACGTAAGGAATGCGGCTAAATGGCAGGAGCTTTGTTTATTTACAGAGCCCTGGGGATGTAGTAGGTTATACGTTGAGCTGCTAACCCCAAAAGTCAGAAGTTTGAAACCACCAGCTGCCCCCTGGGAGAAAGCTGAGGCTTTCTACTCCCATAAAGAATAGTCTTAGAAACCCACCAGGGCAGTTCTGCTGTGCCGTCTAGGGTAAGTGATTTGGAATCTATTCAACAGCAGTAAGTTTTAATTTTCTTTTTGGTTTGTTTCTCTCGGGTAGGCATAGATTACAGTGGGGAAAATTGGGTTATTATTACAGAAGGATTTTTTTTAACTAGATGATACTGTTTGGAGAATCTTAAATTAGTCTCAATTCAGGCAGGACTTTCTTTATTGGTGAGCAGATTGATTTCCCTAAAGTAGCCATCTAATTTTTTTTTCCTTCAGGGTCCTAATAATAATCATTTTAGCTAGCATCCAATAGGGAGACCTTCTTAGGTGGAGCTCTGGTGGCAACATCAGGTAAGCATTAAGCTAACCGTGAGGTTGGTGGTTCAAACCCACCAGCCACTCCTCAGGAGAAGGATGAGGCTCTCTGCTTTTGTAAAGATGCACAGCTTCAGAAACCTTATATGGGGGTGATGTGAATCAAATCGATTCTGGCTGTAAGTTTGGTTGGGTTTTAGTTGTAGATGAGTTTAGATGAGAAGCATAAATAAGATTGTGTTTTACCATTGTCTCTCCCACATAGCACAGTTACTAGCACATGGTGAACATAAATAAGTGATCAAGGGACTAGTGAGGGATGCTTTGGGCAGGATATAAAATGGTAGGGTGGACTGAGCACAGGGTTGTGGGAGTGGAGGAGATTAGGGAGTCGAATAGCCTCGTCATTCTTGACTCAGCTCTTCAGGTACCCTGCAAAGATCTGGTCAGCAAAAGGTGCTCACTGCATTGCGGCTCATAGCACTGGCAGAACGTGAATCCTGTTCATCACAGGACTCAGGAGTGCATTGTCTTCTAGGCAGATCTCCCCGTGGGCAACAGCCACAGAACAGGTGCAGAATTACAGCGCATATTCGTTTTGCCTCTCGTTGAATAAAGGCGAATACGGCCTCCTGGGATTCCGTGTGCTGTCTAGAGTGTCCTACGTGGACAGCATTGTATTTATTTTTTAACTTTGGTGGCCATTTTTCCAAGTCAGTGAAAAGTACTTTTACATTTAAGAAAAGAAGGCAGCTTTGTGGAGGGTGGGGTGGAGCTTGGTGGTTACGTTTTTATTTAAAAGGCTTTTTCTAAGCATGCACAAGCTGTTGATAGGAAATAAGTCTATCCGGGTACAGAAATCTGTCTGGCCCTAACATTAAATCTGTGAAGAGAGCTGTCTTATTTCTGGGACCTGATGTTTGTGTGCTTTTGCTGCACCATGCAGACTTCTTAGGACCTGCCTGGTGTAGCCCCAGCGCCTTTGGTGAGTCTTGGACAAGCACACAGGCATAGAGGCAAAGGGGGCCTTCCCTTCCTGGTATCTGAAAGACTTCCCAGTGGGGGATAATTGGCTCTTCACTCCAATTGCCCCTCGTTCCCAGGCGGACACTTATGAAATGATTGCACGTCCATGAAAGACAGCTTCTGCATAATTCAGGATGGCTCTGGATCTCTCTCATCAGAGGAAGAAAAGCCAGATGAATTATTTACAGAGCACTAAGTTATTTCCTTTCATGAGCTCCGGCTCTGAGTTTGTCTCTGCAAACTGAGATTTTGTTTATCCATGAATAGTTTTCCCTGGGGCATGAAAAATATGACTCTTTAATTAGGAATGAGGCTTTTGGTTTGCATCCCTGTTAACTAAAGCATGCAAAATAAACTGTGTTGTTCATTAGATCCCTTTCAGCTCCCCACAAAAAGAGAGCCAACAAAGGAACTGGTGGTTCAACCTGCACCCACCCGGAAGCCCACTGTGATTCGAATCCCAGCCAGGCCAGGAAAATGTAAGTGCTTCCCCCCGCGTCATTTCCCTCCCCCAGAGCCTGGGAGGATCGTGTGCTCAGTGAGTCATGTTGGCTCTTGCCTTTATGTCCTGTCTGCCATGTATCATTGTTCATAGAGAAAGACACTTAAAAGCAGGTTATTTTTTGTTGTTCCACAATTCTTTAAAGAATGTGTCCAGCAAGTTTGGATTTCATTTCTCTTGGAGATTATCTTTAGGCAGAGGGAAAGGAGCGGGGCTGACGCTGAGAACAACTGTAAGGACCTTTGTTGGTGCCTTGAGTAAAGACTTGGTGGGGGCATCATGGCAGCTAACAGTAAATTAGCTCTCAGGGGGTTGCTTGTCCCACAGTGTGCTCCAAGAGGCTTGCGTGTGCATTGTGGGAGGAGCATCATCCAAGACACGTAACCAAGCACCAGAATGGTTTCACATGAGGGCAACACTCCACTTTGATAGACTCCTTGATTTGGATTTCAAATGGCACAATAAATGAAATTTTGCAGCCAAAATTTCAGGGCTTTGAAGAGAAATCTGAGACTTACTGGAAGGGAGCAGCAAGAAGGCAGACCTTTGGGATCGTTTGCTTGTTTCTTTGTTTGTTCCCAGCAGGGCCTCTGGCTCCTTTATACCTGCAGTGTCTTTGCCTTGACTGCTGCCGAACAAACGAACAAGGGCATCGCTCACTCCGTCCCCCACTTCTGCAGCACCAGTGCCTCGGCCCTTCATTCACAGCGCCCCAGAACTGTACTGTATTTCAGGCCTACCTTAAATGTTGTAATCATCTCTTTATTATTAAGGCTTTGGTTTCTCTACAACGTGCCGTTACCCAGGAGGATCTTAGTGGCTTCCTTCTGTCAATGGTTTTGAAATTAACCAGTAGTTCCCGGGCAAGGGCCAGGAAGATGGAAGTGAAGTGGCTGTGCAGCAAAGCTGGAGGAAAAGCCAAGGGTGCCTTCTTCTTCGGAGGTCCCGTGGTAGCGTTCGATTACACAGTCGGGGATATTTCTAGGATGGTGCCTGGAGCCCAGAGACCGTGGAAGGAGAGCTTATTGGGTTGTTTGACATGGTTGGCCTGTGTTAGTCTCTCTGCTGTCACCAACTCTTAGCAGGCACAGTGAGCTAGAACCATAGTAAATATTGTCAGGGGCTCATGTAGGTTTGAAGTAATATAGCTTCCAACCAGCAATGTGTTCTCCTGTTGTGTTCAGCGGTCCGTACATTCTAGTCCTCACGAGAAAACTCACAGGACTCAGCCTAGAGTGAGAGCCACGCCTCTGCTTTCTTCTGCGGCAGGGTGAGATCTGTCACGGAATGAATCAGCAAAGGGCAAAAAGGTACATAAAGCCAAGTCTGGAGAAAGCAGACGCAGCATCCAGAAGTTTTCTTCCCATGTAAGCACACGGTGAGGTGTAAGGCTGTGTCTACAAAGTTGTCAGCCGGGGAAGCTCCTTAGAGAGGCCGTGCTCCGAGTTTTCATCATCTGGGGCTGGTCATGGCCCCACTCCTGACTGACACATGGTAACAGTCCCGACTCCCAGGAAGAAAGCAGGTGTTGGTCAGACACCACGGTGTGCATGGAAACAGTTGAAGCATGGTGAGCCACTCTGAGCAGTTCTGAGGATGGGGGAACCTTCCTCAAATCTGATGCCTAGGCCTTATCCAGAGGCACCCTTCGAACGCCTTTCACAGAATAGAAGACTCGGGCCACCTGCGTCAGCTCTCTTTCTGCACACCTGTAAGCTCCCAATGCTCCTGAAATCCTCAAAGGGATAGGCTGAGGGGGAGTGCCTCCTATCCAGACAAAGCTGTAGAAGCCAGTAGAAAGTTCCACCTGTACGGCTAGATGTGAGGTAACTGATGTGGCTGAATGTCTATTTATACTGAGATCCTGTTCCCGAGAGTTTTCTTACGAGGGGGTTTCCGAAAGTTTGTAGAAATTTGAATTAGAGATAATAGAATGTTCCTGTGATTTTTTTTTTTAAGGGGTGGGGGCTGGTACCTAGCAGAAAGCAAAGTTTATTTAGAAAGGAAGAGAAGCACCCGGCGCAACAGCAAGGGACTCCAGTGACTTGCTCCCTGTGAAATTTGTGAAGCCCCTTTGTATTTCAGTTATTAAGTACTGCCTATCGGAAGCCCTGGGGGCATAGTGGATTAAGAGTTTAACTTCTAACCACAGGGTCATCAGTTCAGATCCACCAGGAGAAAGAGGGAGGCGTTCTACTCCTTTAAGATTGGTAGGCTCAGAAGCCTGCAGGACAGTTTTGCTCTGTCCTGTAGGGTCACTATGAGTCAGAATTGACTGATGTTAGTGAGGGGATTTTTGTTGTTGTTGTTTGTGTAGAACTTGGGAGTGTCAGGGATCAAAAGGAAATGCTTCGTGATGTAGCACTTTGGGCCATCTTTTTGTGTGTTGTTGGGGATTTGTTTCTTTTAATATTGTGATTTTAAAGAACTTTTACAAAACAAAATAGGTTCTTATTTCGCGGTTTCTGTACATGCTATTCAGGAGACCGAGTTGCTTAGTGGTGTCCCATTGGGCTGCGATCTGCAAGGTCAGCAGTTTGAAATCATCAGCTGCTCCTTGGAATAAAGACAGGGCTTTCTACTCCTGGAAAGAGTTATAGCCCCGAAAAGCCACAGGGGCGGTTTTGCCCTGTCCTGTAAGGTCACTCTGAGTTGCCATCAGCCTGATGGCAGTGAGTTTGGTTTGGTTTTTGTGTGTGTGTATGCATAGTCCAAGAGCCCTGGTAATACTGTTGGGTAAGCATTAGACTACTCGCAGTTCAAACCTACCAGCTGCCCTCCAGGAAAAAGATGAGGCTGCCTGCCCCCATAAAGATTTACAAAGCCTTGAAAACCTTACTGTAGGGGGGCTATGAATCAGATCCACTGAGTGACAGTGGGTTTGTTGGGATTTGGATTTGGGTATCCACATTTTCATTGGCATTGGCTGCACTTCTCACAGCATGTTAGTATTCACATTCCCATGATGGGTGTGCTGTTTATGGTAATCTAGCTTCCTTGTCCCCCAGTGTTGACTGTAAGTCTCAGAAACACAGTGGTCATGAGTGGTGGTGTTTTATTTTATGAACCACTTGATATCATGTGTGCCCATTTGGAGCCATCCTTTCCCAGACCATAGTTTGTGTCGCTGGTCAGAATGGTCAATTGGTTGTGGTAGCTGGGCACCATCTAGTTCTTCTAGTTTTAATGTAGGTGAAGCCATGGTTTACGCAGACTGCTATTAACCAGGTAGACTGGGTTCTTCTTTGCCTCCTTGTTTCTCACCTTTCTCTTTTGCTCCAGTCTTGGCTGTTCTTTGAGCCTTCCAGCTCCTTGCCGAGGGTCCCAGTACCTTCTGCTTGGACTGTCCTTTCCCCAGAGGTCATCATGGCTCCTTTCCTCACCACCATTCTTCCAGGTCTTTGCTCAAATGCTACATTTCTCAGTAAAACCTTCCCATTTACACACACACACACACACACACACACACACACCAGACACTCCCTATACCCTTGTCTGCTGCGACGTTATCTCCTCTCTGCTTTCATTCCTTTCTACGCTGCAGTATTTGTCACAGTAATATTCTCCCCTAAATGACTGATTGTGTCCTCGTAAAACGAAGGAAGCGGCAACGCGGAGAATGTCTTCAGGATGGTGACTGAATTGGGATGCTGCTGTGCCTTCATTCCCAGAGCAGCCCTGCCTCTCACTAAGAGGGCCTGCCTGTCTCTCAGTCCTTGTCTCCCTAATCGCTGGTCTGGGTGCTGTCCTCCCTTTGAGGGTGTTTTCCTGTCTGTGTCTGAGACAGGAGGCCCTGACAGATCACCCTCTTGGCGTAGGTTTTTCATGTGAAATGGAAGTGCAGGGGATGTTCATTTGCAAGAGACAAATCCTCATCTTTTCGATCCTAAAACAAACCGTGTGGAAAAGGCAGGTTCATCCTGGCTCAGTCATCCTCGTTTCCTGTTATTTTTACTCACAAACTCTAATTAGCTGTCACTAATTAAGTCCAGTCCTCTTTGTTTTCTGCTTTTTAAAATAAACTGAAGACATGCTATCACTGGAATCAGGAGGTGGCTTAGGTATAACGATATTGTTGGTTAAATCCAGGGTTTCTAATTCCATTGATCTTGAGCTAATGGATTAGAAAATATTTCATCATTTAGATAAGGGAGGATTGGATAGACCCCTACTGAGAAGCAAAATGCCTTATTAAAATGACTTGGCAGTTACTACTGTGAAGACCTTAGATCGTTTTTCTCTCTCTCTCTCCGCCTGTTTCTTCATCTGTAAGATGGGCAGGATGTCACCGAGCTAGTGAGTGGATATTTCCTGTATGGATATACCTGTGTCCAACATGGTAACACTAGACATACGTGGCTGTTGAGTATCTGACATGTGGCTCACGTAACTGAAGAACTGAAATAAACCTTATTTAAATGTAATCCATTAAAATTGGAGTTAAATGCCTACCTATGCTCATATGTTAAGGTGACCAGTAGTCCCGCTTTTGGTGGGACAGTCCTGATTTTTGGTGTTTTTAATCAAGAAATCCCCCTTCTCCCCGTCAGTGGTGTCCCACTTTAAATCTGGTCACCTTATCATATGTGCATATGCATTATGTGCTTTACAACACTCTTTACAGTGCCCAAAGGCAGAAACAAAGAAACTGTACATCCACAGATGGATTACTAGCTACATGAATGACTTATCAATGGAGTGTTCTGATACATGCCACCAATGGGTGAATTTCAAAACATTATGCCGGGCTAACCAAGGCTGGTGGGCAGAAGCGCTGTTGGCCATCACCTACATAAAGACAAGAAATGCACCGAGGCGGCTGGTCCGAGGCTGCCACTGAGATTCTGAATGCCGCCTCAGAAGCAGGAGCTGTCATATCCCCTTGTCTCACCATTGCCATCAATAAAGACTTCGAGCCATAAATAAATTTTTAAAAATACACTTAGTGAAAAAACACAAAAATACAGAACCAAGATGGTTCCCGGTTACCAGGGGTGGGAGGGAAGGGGCAAGAGGGAACTTTGTGTGGAGGACACAGTTTATAAGGACAGTGGTGGGGTGTCTTGGTAGAAGCTGATGCTAATAATGACACAACATGGGAAATGGGATTGGTCCCGTTCCATTATACATGTGGAAGTTGTATTGGTACATGTTTTAGTGCGTAGATTTCCACCACAAGTGTCTTAAATTTTAGCGAGCAGCACTTAGGTGTTGGTAGGAGAGATGTTTGTGGGTAAAATAAGTGTCTGACCTACTGGTTCACACGTGGGAGGTTCTTACAAGTGCCAGCTGTCCTGAAATTCTTGAGTACTGCTTCGCTCTCTCTGTAAAACTGACTGATGGCTTATAACCCATCGTTCCCCAGGTCGGATAGCAGTGCCTTCCCTTTTCAGGATTACTCCTCCTTTGTGTGGGTCTTTGATGGCAGCCATTTTCCTAAATCACGCTACAAGCATCTCATCCTTTGGAATCCCCAGAGATCAGAAATTATTGATGAATTACTATTTTTCCAGGTTTAGTTGAAGACCCACAAAGCCCACCGCCTCTCCCTGCTGAAAAGCCCATTGGAAACACTAACAGTCCAGCGTCGGGGAAGCTCAGTGATGTTGACAGAACCAGACACTTGGTAAGTGGTCATTAGAGCTCATGTGAGGCTGAAGACCAAGCAATGTGCAGATTGTAAATACTCAACTGAAGGCTATACTACATTACTACTGGTCAGATTTTACATATTTCAAAAATGTTTACTACAAACAAACTTCCAAGCCCCATGTACTTATTCGGTACTTTAAAAAAAAATCATTTTATTGGGGGCTCGTACAATTCTTATCACAATCCATACATCCATCCATTGTGTCAAGCACATTTGTATATTTGTTGCCATCATCATTTTCAAAACATTTTCTTTCTACTTGAGCCCTTGGTATCAGCTCCTCATTTTCCCCCCTCCCTCCCTCCTTCATGAACCCCTGACAATTTATAAAGTATTATTATTTTTCCATTCAATACTTTAAAAATCCCTGTAGAGCAAACTAATTAGGCTATTTCATTGTACTTCATCAGAAGATAATTCTTCCTATACCGATATAATGACTGTGTCTTTGAAGTAACTCTCGTTCATAATGAGAAGGTTATTAAAAATCTCTAAAAAAAACTTTAATGTTTGTGGAAATTGATTCAGTCAAATTGTCAGTTTATTCTAAATGCCCAATTCATGACAAAATCTTGAAATAATTTCCATAAGAATTTTTTAACCTGAAATTTAAGGAAAAAGCACTTTTTAAATTTAAAAACTGTTGCTTATAGTACATTGTTGGCAAATGTACTATAAGGGGTTCAGACCCGAGGCTGTCTGCTCCCCTGAAGAGAGGGAGTTGGAAGTGGCTTGACAGCAGTGGGTTGGGTTGGGTTGGTTTGATTCGATTCGATTCTAGAGGAAAGGAGACCTGGTGGCACCGTGGGTTAGGTATTGGTTGCTAACTGCAAGGTCAGTGGTTCAAATCCACCAGCCTGTCCTTGGGAGCTAGGTGAAGCTGTCTGCTCCTGTAAAGATTTATAGTCGCGGATCCCCTATATCAGGTCACTTGCTGTGAGTCAGAATGAACTAGATGACAGTGAGTTTGTTTGGGGTGTTATTTTTCTTGTTCAGAACACGTCCTCCCTTTGTAAACTCTGTGGGGAGGTCCTTTACCTCTTCCCAACTGCCCCTCATGGCGGGTCTTCTTGGGTCTTGGTATCTTCCATCTCTGCTTGCTTGCCTGGCCTCATCTGCTCTTTCTGTGTTCTGGAAGATGAACTCAAAACACAGGCTACAATAATCCTGCATCATTAACACAGCAAAGCCCATCACTGGCCTAGAGGTTAGGATGGACAACGCATAATTGGGGGGACACAATTCATAACAGAGTTTTAAAATATGGTGGTTGTTTTTTTTATTCTTCACACTGAATCCTCAATTTCTTTAAGTAATCAGATCATTTATACATCCTTGATGATTCCTATACAGTAGATCTTTAAGGTTTGTTTTCAAAAGAAACCAATTCTTAAAGTCTTTGAACCAACTTTTTAGCTCAAATTTCATAATAGCTTTACATTGGGTGTTAACTATATTTATTATCCAGGCAAAGCCATATAATCATCTGTTGAGGAGAAAGCTCTTTGAAGAGGACATTAAATTAAATTAGCCAATATCACGTTAATGAGATTTTCCTGTAGGATGAATTAAAATTTAGTGATCACTTGCGTTTCAAAGTACTTTGCAATAAATTTTTATTAAAACTGGGTCAGGAAAGCCCAAAAGAGGATAATAGGGCCCAAATTATACTATTATTAAATAGGAAAATCTCGATTCTGAGAAGGAAATGTTGCTTGGAAAGGTTACTGACTTCTCATATGTTTGCCAAAGGGAGCAAAGGGGTGACAGATTGCCTGGGTGGGGATAAGTCTCCCTGAACCAAAATTTTATAGAAACCCCTTTATTTGATTTCATTTTTTCCAAACCATTTTATTAGGAACTAGTTCAGATATCAAACCATTCCAGAGTTTAATCACATCAAGCGGTATTATACAATTGCTACTAAAACCAGTTTCAAACCATTTTCTTCCTTCTCGATCTCCTTGATATCAGCCAGCCTCCCCCTTACCCTTCCCCCCACCACACTCCCCAGGAATCCATATTCCAGTTGTTGTGTCTGTAGACGCATCTATCCTGGGTTTCATGTACCAAAAACATAGAAAAACTCGTTTCTCAAGACGGCTACACGCAATGGCAAAATGCTACAGAGATAAACCCCAATATGAAGAAAAACACAAAAAATATTAAAAATCAGATCAAGCCCAACGTATATCAGAGGGGAGATCAAGTGACAGTGTTTTAACTATGCGAGTCACTACGGTCGTCTCTCCAATACCCTCCATCTGATAACCAGGTTATTCCCCACCCACAATTGTGGTTCAAGAGAAATCACCATAGTCTTATCCCCTGTGTAGATCTTGCGAATGTAGTTCATGTCAACCATAACCTTTTGTACCCCAAAATCTCACAATTTAAGCTCTGATACTATTCCCTCCTTCAGATTTGGATTATATCATTTTCAATCCCTGGAAACCCCTTTATTAAGTCTTATACAGTACAAAGATAAGACAAAACTGTATTAGAACTTGTATTCTGAGCACTAGGTTTGCAGAAGGCTATGGGAAACAGTGAAAGCCCAAAATCTATTTAGCCTCCATTGACTTCCTTCTAACTATTAAACAGGAGCGTAAACTGTCTTGGCAGAGGATGCTAGAAAGTGGATTACAACCACCCCCCTAACCAGCCCAGGCAGGGCCAGCCTCCTTTATGGGCTGGCCTGGGTGTATCTTGATGGTGATTGGGGTCCTGGGGTAGCATAGTCATGAGTCAGACCCTGACTGCCTTAGTCAGAGGGCCCTGGACCTATCTTGCTCTCTGCCTAGCATAATACATATGTCCATCTTACATTCCCATTTCTATAGTCCCACTTGAACCTGCGATGTATTGATCTGCTGCCAGTCATGCTTCTGTGACATTTCCTTTGTCCTCCGATGTCCTATTTAAGCCATCGGTTCTCTGTAAAGCCTTGAATGCCATTGCAACCTTGTGCTAATGCTCTTCCTCATTTGGATAATCTGTATTTGTCTTTTCTTGCCTTTGTTCTGCTTAAGACTTCAGTGTTCACACATTAAATTGAGAATTGGAGTCTCTTTTGTACCTAAAGCAAAATGCATCATCGGGATGAAGGAAGCCATCATGGTGTCTGAAGGATTCATAGCTGCATGCCTAATTATATGTAGGGTATGAGGGGGGGAAAGGAAGTGGTCATAGAATCGTGTTATGGTCAAATCAGTTCATCACTGTAGGAAGTTGGACTTCAGAAGTAGGAAAGAGGTTGTGATTGGGAAACGTGCACTATGGCAGATTAGAAAATTTTATAGGATTAGTTCTGGGGCCCCCGGACCTAGGTTGGGGCATGACTTATTCCCCAGTGACTCTGGCACCCTCGTTTTCATCAAAGCCAAGCAAATCCCTGAGGGTGGTCACAGGAATACACACTGCCTAAGGGTGAAGTGTTTACATTGCTGGTTAGCCACTGCTCAGGATCAGAATTTATGTGTAGATTCAGAATTAATTTAGAGCTTCCATGGTAAACCACAACTAAAACCAAACCCAACCCACTACCTTCTATTCCAGTGGTTGTCAACTTTCCTAATGCGACCCTTGAATACAGTTCCTCATGTTGTGGTGATCCCCAACCATAAAATTATTTTCGTTGCTACTTCGTAACTAATTTTGCTACTGTTATGAATCATAATGTAACAATCTGATATGCAGGATGTATTTTCATTGTTACAAATTGAACATAATTAAAACATAGTGATGAATCACAAAAACAATATGTAATTATATATTGTAAAATATTTATTTCTAATGACAAATCAATGAAATTTTGTCTTGAAGCATGGTGTAGCATGGGTAACAGTCTTCATGCCAGGTACCGGGTATATCTGCATGTGGGCGGACCCACCTGGAGGCGGATAGAGGAGCAGTGTCTCGGTTCCTAAGACCACGGAAATATGTGTTTTCCGATGATCTTAGGAGACCCCTGTGAAAGGGTCGTTCGACCCCCAAACGGGTAGGGACCCCCAGGTTGAGAACCGCTGTTCTATTGCATCCTATCTGATAGGGAACCTATGTAGGGTTTCCAAAGCGACGGATCTCTCTGGGAGCAGGAAGTCTCATCTTTCTCCCTTTTTAAAGCTGAAAACCTAACCCTCACTACCATCAAGTTAATTCTGATGTCGTGCAAGCAAACAGCCTCCTCTTTCTCCCATGGAGTGACTGGTGGTTTCGAACCACTGATGTAGTGAGCAGCTCAGTGCACAACCAGCTATGACACCAGGGCTCCCTTTTCTCCCCTGTAGCCTCACCCTTCTCCCTGAGAGCAGTTAGCAGCCCAGCACTGACCAACAGCACCTCCAGGCTCCCCTCTGTACCGTAGCCTACACACACCCGGTGCTCAGAATGTAAGCTCTAACACAAAGTAAGCACACATATTGTTTGTTACATGGTGTAATAGGTTTTGTAAACTATGAAACTCTTCTGTTAAAATATTCGACATTAACCTGGTCCTTATGGCAACACCGACATTTCAGAGAAAGAAGAGCTTAGACTAAAGAAACCATCTAAGAGATTCTGTTTGTGTCTCCCATAAACCCACGAGGAAAGTCCTGTCCTACAATGCTGACCTTGAGAGTCGAAGCATGGTGCCCACCCCAAGTCTGAAGGAAGGAGGGGTGAGGAAGCAGGCCCACGAGATACATGTTTGCCTGAAAGCCCACTTAAAGATTCCCCCAGCCAGAAAGTCACATCTCTGCTTGAGAAATTGCTTCTGTTTGCGAATGAGAGGCCAGGTGAATATTTCACCTGTCCAGTGACCTTTGTCTCCTGAGAAGGCACAGAAAAAAGACCAACTTATTTCTCCTGCTTGAGTGCCAGGGCACTTTCCATCCCAGGATAAGATTACTGCAGTGGCCAGACCTCCTTTTCGTCACTGATACGACGAGGGTATAGAGCACTGGGAGCCACTAGAGCTGTTCTGACAGCAG